TAGTTACCCGGGTCCTCCTTCTTGCCCTTCAGACTGGCACGCAGGAGCTGCACACAGCTGACAGTCAGCGAGTCGGTCAGTGGATTACAGGACACTTAAAGTGTCTCAGGATTTTGCAGAACAGCTTCTTCTCTCATCTTACCAGTGTAGCCTTACTGTCAGTTGTCCAACAGTTAATTTCATTTTTAACTCTTCTGTTTCAATTTACTTTATTGATCAGGAAATTACTCAAGCAGGACTATATAAAGACTGTTTCTCAAAACAAATGGGCCTGCATCATGGGAAGTGATCCTTGTGATGCAGAGAATGTCAGAACTTGAGATGTGCTTAGCTAGTCTTACAAGGAGCTTCCATTTTAGTGAAACAAGCCAAGTATGAGCTTAAGAAACAGATTAGACCTTGTTAAAATTAAGGCAATCTTGCATTTGTTTTTCTTAGGAATACCTATATGGGAAAAATACTAAATACCTGACATACAATGACTTCATCAACAAGGAGTTAGTACTGTTCTCAAACTCAGATAATGAAAGATCAATCCCGTCACTGGTTGATGGTAAGTTATTTCAAGATAGTGTTTCCGCGTAGTGCATTCCCCAGAACTTCATTAAGTTTGTTTGGGTGTTTGCATGTCACACCATCAGAATCGGGGTAACCTGCTGAGTTTTCAGGGTTGGTGTTCTGAAGTCTGTTTTGTGCTGTTCAAGTTTTTCAATCTTTAATTTAAATGTCCATTTTTGTAGTATATTATTGCAAGTACTTTACTCTCCCGGCGCAGGATCTTTAGGTGTATAAGTAGTTCTTAGTCTGTAGAGAGCAGAAGCTACGTGAAGCACATTGTACATTCTAATCACAAGTTCTTTTTTATTGTATACAGGTTTGAAGCCAGGTCAAAGGAAAGTTCTGTTCACGTGTTTCAAACGCAATGATAAGCGAGAGGTGAAGGTTGCTCAGCTGGCTGGTTCTGTAGCTGAGATGTCTTCATACCATCATGGTGAAGTAAGAAACTGGCCTGGTTGTGCAAAATGCTTTTTAAATGAAAGGCAAAAATGCCCTTTTGTTGACCTGACAGTTAATTCTCTAAAGCAGAAATAAATGTTGAGTATTAAAGCCAAAGCGAAGTGGCTGTGTATCAGCTCTTAATTCTTCAGTATTAATTAATAGAAGTAGAACGAGAAAAACCTGCTTTATATGTGATAAATTTAGGTAGATGTTTAAAGCCTTTCTACCTTGGTAAGGAGAAGTTAAGCATTAAATAAGCTTCCTTGGGGAAACTGACAAAATGTTTCATAGGAGGTCTCAAGAATAGGTAGATAGCAATATATCGTGGGTCACTGCAGTGTATCTAGTCAGTCAGACTAGATGGTCTTGGGATGCACTTTCAGTGAGAGCTTCCCCCAGTATTTTATTAGTTGAGTTTATCTTCTGTATCACTTCTGTTCTTGGTGTGAACTTTGCCTTTGTCTATTCAGTGAAGAATGCTTCATTTTTAGCTTTAAACCTTTCTTTATTGCAGGCATCACTGATGATGACCATTATTAACTTAGCTCAGAACTTTGTGGGCAGTAACAACCTCAACTTGCTACAGCCTATTGGTCAGTTTGGCACAAGGCTGCACGGTGGGAAAGACTCGGCCAGCCCTCGATACATCTTTACAATGCTCAGGTCAGCATTAAAGATTTCTTATGGTCTTCAATATTCTTAGCATTTAACACAACTCAACTTGGGTTGGCTGATGGGAATAAACCTGATTTGTGTGTTTTGTTTGTTTTCTGGGGGGTTCTTTTTTGCGTGGTGATCACTGTTCTGTAACAAGACTTTGGGCTTAAACTCTCTTTTCCATTGTAGCCCACTAGCACGGTTGGTGTTCCCACCAATGGATGACAGTATCCTGAAGTTCCTATATGATGACAATCAACGTGTGGAGCCAGAATGGTACATGCCTATCATTCCAATGGTGCTGATAAATGGAGCAGAAGGGATTGGTACTGGCTGGTCCTGTAAGATCCCCAACTTTGATATCAGGGAAGTTGTGAATAATATCCGTCGTCTGTTGGATGGAGAAGAGCTATTGCCAATGGTAAATAATGTATTTAAAAAACAATGTCTCGCTTGTTAGTTTATTCAGCGCGTATTGCAGCATTTCATGCAAGTGCTTAAAAACAGAAACATCAACACAAAGCTGAATCCAGTGTTCTCTTCCACTTAGCTTCCTAGCTACAAGAATTTCAAAGGCACGGTAGATGAGCTGGGACCTAATCAGTATGTGATAAGTGGTGAAGTGTCTATCCTTGATTCGACAACCATTGAGATCACTGAGCTGCCTGTCAGAACATGGACACAGGTAATAAGCAGTGAATTTTCCCTAGGGATGTATAGTTTGCCCTGTAGAGCAAAAAGTGATTACTGAAAACATGGGTCTGACTTTGATTCCTTTCTCAGGCTTATAAAGAGCAAGTTCTGGAGCCAATGTTAAATGGGACTGAGAAGACACCCCCACTAATCACAGACTATAAAGAATATCACACGGACACGACAGTGAAGTTTATAGTAAAGATGACTGAAGAAAAACTAGCTGAAGCTAAAGCAGGGGGGCTGCATAAGGTCTTCAAACTCCAAACAAGTTTAACATGCAACTCCATGGTATGTAATAAATTTTGCCAAAGAAAGGGCTTGGTTTAACTCAAAGTCTGTGTGGACAGCTGCGGGTGCTACAGTAACTTACTCACTTCGATTTTTCTGCCGTTACTGGTTTTAAATCGGCTTTCTAAATATACCTTCAAAAGGTCAGGAGACTGGCTTGGGAATGGGCGCAGAGCTGTATGGTTGTGCCTGAAGGAGTCAAAGGGACCTGCAATCACACGGTTCAGAGACCTGCGTTGTGACAACGCTGCCACTGAGTGTCTGGATTCTGACAGTGTGTGAAGCTTGATGCAAGATGTTTATCCTACAGATAGCTTTAAGATCCAAGTAACCTTAACCCTACTGGGCTTTCAAGAGCCTTGAAATTCTCTGCTGCTATGCTTGCAAACTGAAGTAATTTCTAAAACGATGCTAAGGTTTTATAATTTATTGGCTAATAATTCAATCATACTATCACACCTGTGTCATAGCTAATTTTCAGTGGTTTTGGAAATCAGTTTTATTATCATAATGCCTGTGTTTTTTCATCTAGGTTCTTTTTGACCATGTTGGCTTTCTCAAGAAGTACGACTCTCCCCAGGATATTCTTAAGGAGTTCTTTGAACTCAGGCTCCGATACTACCGTTTGAGAAAAGACTGGTTTATGGGAATGCTAGCTGCCGAGTCTGCAAAACTGAGCAACCAGGCTCGTTTCATCCTGGAGAAAATAGATGGCAAAATTGTGATTGGTATGTGTTGTTCTTGGTCGCTTGGTTTATGAAACTGGGAGAACTCGGTGCTCCTTTGAGATGTGTCAGCACCCCCTCAGGCCTGGGCTGGCTCTTAACAAACTACACCAGAGCTTATCTTTCTGTTCCATACACATACGAGAGAAAAATGTTTCACAGAGTATCCTTGGTCTATAGAGCATTATGCACGTATTAATTAAAGCAGGATACTCGTGCAGCTTTCCTACTGTGTGTTTGACACTATTTTGAGTAGAATTTTTTTTAATAGTTTAGCGATAATATCTATTTCTGACTCAGTAGGAGTAAGAGTTAAGTACTGGTGGGGTTAGAAAGGGGCAGTGTTTTCTGTTCAGACACATACTTCTTACAGACCCATATCTTTCTGTGTTATCTTTGTGAACCTCTGCAAAAATATTCCAAATCATGTTCTCAGTGGATTGGGGTTTCCAACTTAGAAGACACTCAAGTTAGCAGCATCTGAGAATCATGAGCTAGAAAAAGAAACAGATCTTTGTTCCCAGCATTCAGATATTCCCATCAACTTCTCCACCTCAGTCTAAAAGGCAGTCTGTATTTCACTTGTGTTCATGGAGGATGCAGCTCGACCGAGTGTCATAAGATGCTTTGTGTCTGAAGGCAGCCCAGTAATCCCAGCAGCCTGTGGCTGACTTGACTCAGGAAGAGAAATAATTCCCTTGAAATGCATTTTCTTGGGTTTTTGTAATAAGCAGTTCCAAGGCTGACAGAGCTGCTTTCATTTGTATTTGTGTCTCATGGTCGATTGCTTCTGATATCTTAAAAAGGAACAAATTCCAGCTGAAGCATTTCTATTGGTTGGGGCAATAATAGCATAAATTTCCCAGGTGGAGTCTAATGAGGTGCAAGCTATACCGAAGCCTTTGAGTGCTATCAGGGTTTTTTTTCCCTCCACCTGCCTGCCTATTATGAAACCTTTTTGATGCCACCACATCTTTTTTTCCAAGTTCAAAAACTACTTAGAGCAGGGGAAATGCATCTATGGAAATGAAGAAGAAAAATATTTGCAGTGCTTTGGCAGGTGTTCCTGGCAGTTATAGGAGCAATGCTGACCTGACAAGTAGGAACTTCTTAGGTGTTATTTCAGGCTTTTCCACATGTCCCACCTCTGAGGAGGAAAGGCTGTTTTAGAGCCCAATAGGACACCGAGCTGCTAGAACCATGGGATCCAGAATGTAAAGCTCATCTGTCTGTGATTGGTAGCAGTCACTAATTGTCAATCCTGAAATGTCTCCTTACAGAAAACAAACCCAAGAAAGAGCTGATTCAAGTTCTTATCCAGAGAGGATACGAATCTGATCCAGTGAAAGCTTGGAAGGAATCACAAAACAAGGTAATGCTTCCGTCATCCTCTCTAAATAGATCTGAAGTAGCCCCAGTCTCTGAAGCTTCATCATTTGTACAAAGAGGCCCAAGTTGCTTTTCAGTTTGTGGGATTCAGGAGCTTGTGTGTCTGATACGGCTGTGATAGGAGACCAAGCAAAAAATTAATCTCTTGTTCAGAAGGTGCTGAGACCTGGTCACTTGGGTTTGAGTCTGCTGGGTCGAGTCCTTGCCACAGCAATTTCTGCTCACCCTTAAGGGTTTCCTCCTGCCTGTGGGGAACAGCTGTGGAAGGGCTGTGAGGAAGATGACAGTTTTATGTAGCCTCAGGAGAGAATCTGCACCATCAAGACAGAGAGGCCAAAGGGAGTAGAGCAGAAGAGATTGAGAGAATTGTTTTTGCAGGTGGATTCCTCTGTGCAATAGCAACTGAGGCCTTAAGAAGTGTGACTTTATCAATTTTTTAAACTGTTCTAGAAGAGTCTAGGACACCATCAGCATGTGGGGTACCTGTGCTGCAGTCCCAATTTGACCAATAGCCCTACCCTTGTATGTTAATATATTTCCCACATTCAGGAGGAAGAGGAGGAGGAGGAGGAGAATGAGAGCGACAAAGAATCAGCTGCAGCTTATGGACCAGACTTCAACTATCTGCTGAACATGCCCCTTTGGTATCTGACTAAAGAGAAGAAAGATGAGCTATGTAGGCAGAGTGATAACAAAGTACGTTCCTTCCTTTCCTTACAGAAGCATTGTTATATGTATATTTGTTTTAATGATGGACTGAAATATGTAACTAATTATTATCAATGGTGATTCCCTTTAGGTAAAGGAGCTGGAAAACCTTAAGTGCAAGAGCCCCTCTGATCTGTGGAAGGAAGACCTTGCTGCCTTTGTGGAAGAACTTGATGTACGTCAGTGCTCAGTGCAGATGACTGATGCCCTTGTAGTCTTTGTGTTCTCATGGTTGTTTTGTTTTATGCTCACCTCTGCAGGCAGTGGAAGCCAAGCAAATGCAGGATGAGATGGCAGGCTCTGTTGGTAAACCTTTAAAGGTGAAAGGAGGGAAAGCAAAGGTGAAAAAGACACAACTGCCAGAAGTAATGCCATCACCTCATGGCATTAGGGTTGTTCCCCAGATAACTGCAGAGATGAAGGCGGAGGCAGAGAGGAGAACTAAAAAGAAAATAAAGGTAAAAAAGAACATTCTGAATGCTCTTGGCATTTCCAGTTATGCTTTCAGCCACTTAATGCCATTACTGTTCTCAGTATCAAAGAGATAAAGATGATTTAACTCTTTTTATAGGGCTAGTTGAAATTATGCCATTCAGCCATTTGCAGGATAGAAAATAAATATCCCTTCACCTGTTCTGACCTGTAAGCCAGACACACTCCTACTCCTCTCCTACAGATGGTTCCATCTAACAGTTTTTCCAAATAACTTGCACTGTTGTTTTTAACCCACCCTGTTTAATTCTGCATCCTCAACACACCCTAGAGCTGTGCTATCAGCTCTCAGGAGTGGGGACAAAGTTCCTGTTTTTGTTAATGTTGGATTTTGCATTTTAAGTCACCTGATCTGGGAGCAGATCGCGCCTGATGGACTTGGCTGTAATCGATTTTACACGCAGTTTGTTTCACAAACTCCGATTCCTTGTGTCACTAACTTCCATACATCTAAAATAAGCAGCTCTTTACATTACTCTGTGTGCCTCTTGTAATAACGTGAGCTGACTCGCTATCTGTTTCGTATCTGCTTGTATCTCCAGACTGAAAAGAATGAGAATCTAGAAGAAAACTCATCGGCCGACAAACAGCCTTCAGGCCTTAAGCAGAGATTAGCGCAGAAGTTTAATACTGGGAAAGGTAAATGCTGTTATGTGTTATTCCATCAATGGAAAGTGAGGGGAAGGGTTGTAAATTTGGTTATCTGACCTCTTCCTGAAGGTGATGAGTAACACCTAGGATCAGTATTTTTGGAAAATCTAGGTGAGAGAAACAGTGACCCTGGATAAGAGTCAAACAGGACCGATTACTATTTCTCTTCAATGTTTAAGCCAGAATCCTCTGAATTTAGTGGTGTATTTCTAAGTTGAGCTTGAACTGCTGAGCCTGAAGTACTTGTGGAAGTTTGCTGGTTCATCCTGCCTCTCAAAACTTTTCAGGTGTTAAAAGACAAATGACTCTGCCGTTTAAGCCACTGAAGAAAATGAAGAAACGAAACCCTTGGTCTGATTCAGAGTCTGATTCAGGATCTGATTCAGGGCCCGATTCAGGGTCTGATTCAAGGTCTGAATTTGAAGCGCCTCCTCGAAGGGAGAGAGTGGTTTCCCAAGCCGCAGGTGAGTGATGACACAAATGCAGAAGAGAAAAAAATGGAACAGGCATTTAGAGAGCTCCCAGAGTCTGAGGTCTCGGTCAGAAATCACTTTTAAGAGGCTTATTATTTTACTGCATGTAACAACCAAGTATTTCTACCACTTGAGCAGATTTTCACAATGGTTTTCAAAGTAAAGCAGAAACAGGCAACTGGAAAATAAGGTTATTGGTTTTAATCACACAACTGTCTGGGCAAATCAAACGCGTTGTTGGTAAGTGAGCCCAGAATACACTTGTGATTTGCAGTTCTCTCACTGGCAGTCTGAATATCTGCTTGTTTTTATTCAGGTCTTTATTTTTTAATAGCTACAGGTAAAATACTGAAAAAGAAACTGAGCCGTATATTGCCAAACGTGTAAAATAATACATCTGTGTCATTTCACCAGCCAAAGCCCAGATGATCAGTTCGGACTCAGATGCAAATCTCTCCAGCTCAGATGAGGAGTCTGAATTACAGAGTAACAGTGAAGGCAAGATGGAATCGGACGCCAGCTCAAAAGAAAAACCTGCTCCCAAGCCCAGAGCTCCTCCGAAGTGAGTATTTCTCCGTGCTTCTAGTGTTACTGCCAGCCAGCCAGAAATTAATAGCTCTTTTTCTTCAGTGCATCTATTTAGTGCATCATAACTTGAAAGAATACTTGGGGTTTTGTGTTCTAGGAAAACCACTGCAAAAGCAGCTAAAGCTCCCAACCAGAAGCCAGCACAAAGCATTCTCACTGGTGAGTACCACACCTGCTACACCTTGCTGATTTTCCCCAAACCCCACGCGAGTGCATGGGGCATCTGCTCAGTGCTTAACACCGACAACAGCAGACAACGTCTCCTGATCTTGCTAAGAAATTTCACTGCTAGGGCACAAGCTGGTTTCAGTGCACCAGACTTTTTGTCTGTTTCTGACTTGACTTTGTGATTAACGCGGTTTTAATAGTTGTTCTTTTTATTAAGTGGATCAAAATTATTTCCTTCTGCTCTAAAGTTTATAGCCAGAGTAGATAATTTGACTATTTCAGACTTATTTTCCGCTTTCTTTATTCAGTTAAAGTCCAAAATGTTCCTAATGAAAATGAGAGTCAAGATCCTGTAGCTCCTTCCATCTCTGTGCCTCCCAGCAAGACCGTATCCAAAAAACCTGCTGCAGCTAAGAAGGCCAGTGCTGCTAAGGGTAAGGAGGAGTTCAGTGAGATCATTTTTAGATAACAATTAATATTCCTATGGGAAACGAGTCTGCATGATTTTGCTAGGCATCCAGAGGCCTGGATAACTTGAGTGTTCGTTTTGGAAAAGATCTGAGGTTTGTGGCAAAGGTTGCCTAGCCGTTGTCATTTTGAAGGAAGTTTGTTTCCAAACATATCATGTTGTAGTTCATCTCAGACATGCTCGAGGGGAGTGAATTCTAGTTTGGGAACAGGAAAAGTGAACGCTTCCTACAGCGCTATGTAATACTTGGCAGAAATAATCCGAGTGGAATGCGTGTCTTGCAGTCGATGTTGTACTTCATGTCTTTTTGGGAAAAAAGCTACTTGGTAGCTCGCTTCCCAGGACAAAGAAAAGCAGCTTTGGGGTAGCTTGATCTATTTAGTGCTAGCTCGACCTCATAAATCTGCGGCATTTGACTCAGGTTTTTTAAACTTAACTGCCCAGAGTCTTTGTCGAACTCTGAAAGCTGTTTTGCATATCCCATCGCTTGCTGGTTTTGATCCCAGCAGTGAAGTCGTGTGTTGCTGCACAGCAAAAGAGCTGAATTGAGGACGCCTGTTATCATTCAGGAACGCTCTGCTCGTTTCAGCATAACTTGGAGACGTGCTCCAAGATGCTGTTAAAAAATGTCAAAATATAGGTGAGAAAGAACTCCACAAGTTCAGAATAGATGGTAAATTCATTCAAAAGTTTTGAAGGTATAAGATTGCTTACACAGCCTTGAGAGTTCAAGGCTTTTCAATCTGCAACAGCCTGTAGATTGCTTTGGGTACATCTTAATTTGATCCTCTGAATGTAGCGGATCTAAGCAGATGAACAACTTAATTTCTCATCATCTTGGTAAAGAGCAATCTTTCTAGAAAGCCACGATGCAAAACGAGGCGACCTGAGCGCTGACCTCGCGGTGCGGCGCAGAGCCGTATTGGCGTTGGAAGCCATTCGCAAACTGCAAGCGCGAGGAGAGGCGGCAGGCGCGAGGTTTAAGGGCTGCGTTGCGTTTCAGATGACCAGCCGTCCATCAGGGATATCCTGGTCAAGAAAATGCCTGCGTCCAAATCCAGCAAGACGGCGCTGAAGGAGGAGGGATCCCTGGTCCCTGATGTTGGAGCAGCGGGTGACAAGAAACCTGACCAGATCAAGAGACGCAAAGCTGCCAAAAGGCAGCCAAGCTGCCTAAGTTTGGATTCGGATTCGGATTTTGAGCTGAAGCCTTCCAAATCGGTTGCAGTGAAGGTTTGTAAACTGCCACCCATCGGAGCCGCTGCGGGGTTGGTTATTGTGGTAGAGGCAGAACCTCCCGTGCGACACTCGTCTGTGTTGCTGGGTGTGGGGAAGGAGGGAGCACACATTCATGTCCCCACATTGTTGGTTGGTGCTCATCAGCCCAAACAAGCACCTGGCTCGTGACAAGGGGCTGCGTTTCACGCTAATTGCACTCTCTGTTTATAATTCACGATTCACTCCTTGACTGTGCTTTCCCTTCAGAAATGCAAGCAGTTGGATGACGACGAGAGCTTTACCATCGTTACCGCTGCTGGTGAGCCTGACCTTGGAACAGCCGTGCTCCGCACCAGGCCTGGGCGCCTCAAAAAGCCTGTCCAGTACTTGGAGGAGTCCTATGAGGAAGATATGTTTTGAATTTTTATGGAGATTTTAAACTGCAGATCCAAACCAGCCTGCAGCAGAGCTCCTGACGAGCTTTCACCGAAGAACATCTCAGACTGGGAAACCTTTTCACTGAATTCAAACTTGCCTAAAAATGTTTGTTACAAGTGAATTACTCTTTGGGTTTCTTCATTTTAAATAATTTATCTTTGTTTACACAGAAACACCCCCCCTTTTTTTTTTTCCACATCACTGGAGCTATGCACCCAGCTCCCTCCTACCCCTTAGGTACCTGGGATGTTTTAACACTTTTTGGTCATTTTAATGCTAAAGACGACATTACAACATCCCTCTAAAATACCCTCTCACATTGATACCTTTCTCTTTAGATACACATTCTATTACTTTTTAAGGTAAGTTTCTAACTCCACAACCAGACACCCAACACATGAGGTGTCAGCATTTAGGCCTCTGTGCCAGTGTTTCCTTTCTCTTTTGCAGTCCTTTGTGTCAGTGCAAGCCCCTCTTGCTCAGCCTCTCCCAGGGTGAGTTTTAGCCGTTGGATTTTTAAATTCAGATTTAGCGACAGGGTTTGTGCAGACTTCTCTCTGCGCGGTGCTGGCAGCTTTATCTTCTGTCTGGTTGCCAAGCAGCCTCATGGTCATCTCCAGGTACGAGGTGCTGGTGACTGCCACTGCCTGGTGCTGTCAAAGAGCCAAAGGGTGCCAGTGGAGTGAGATGGGCTCCTGGAGAAGGACCGAGGTGGGACAGACGTTCCCTGTCCCAGGATCTGTGGCAACTTGCAGGAAAACCGCGTGGTTATTCCAGTGCACTCCTTGGAAAGCTGCGGGTTCCTCTGTGCTCAGCTTCTCTGCTGCTGTGTGGAGCAGCAGCACGAAGCTCCTGCCCATTTGTTCCTGGGGCCAAAGAACTTCCCTCAGCTTTACTGCCCATGTAAATATTTTCTGTGTTTTTCTTCTTGTCCTGAGTTTCTGTCCTTTTTCGTGTTTATGTAATAAAATTGCTTTTACTCAAGCTTTCTTGAATAAAATGGAGTTGTCCTCAGCTGCCTGCTCCCTCTGTTTCCTCCTGCACCAGCTCTCTGGAGCCATGGGTTGTCTTTGTTTGCGGTGAGTACTTGAAGCTTGGACTTTCTCAGGAGCAAGAGGCCATCAGCTCCCACCCTCCGCTGCCAACACCGCTCTAAATGGGTCAGAGCCTTTGTCTAACCACGCTCGTTATTTCCGAGGTTATTTCCAGTGCTAATTTAGCCAGTTTTGGCATTGTTATGGAAATGACCAGCGGCTTGACCATCGGGATGGGTGCAAGCTCTGGTTTTGGATACGGTTCCCCAGAGCATCACGGATGTGGCTGAATCACACGGTGCAGGGCTGCCCTTGTGCCAGCAGACACCAGAACTGGTGGTGGCTCCCAAGCTGGCACCAGGGGAAGAGCAGGATGGGTGGGCGTCCCCGGGGCCTCCCTGTCCCCACTGCAGGCGCATGGGTGCTGTCGGTGCCACTGAGGTGCTTTGCTGGCACCCAGTCAAGTGTGGAGAGCGCTGTCAGATTTTCCACTGCCGGGCTCTGGAGAGCGTCTCCAGCGCGTCCCCGCCGAGGGGCTGTGCTATTTACAGCTTCTCCTTGCTGCAAGCGCCCGCAGAATCGGTTGTCACGACTCGCACGGCAAAGGGCGAGGCCACGGCTGGGCCGTGTGGGCTGCTCCTGTAACCCCCCCAAATCTCTGCATAGAGCTGTGTCTGCCAACACGCACTCTCCACCAGTGTCTATACTGGGATTTTCTCTATCACAAAATCTCCATGAGTGGGGCGTTGGGGAGGCCGAGTGCTGTTGGAGCAGGAGTTGAGCTGTGGGCATTGGGCACCAACCCATGGTGGGCATTGAATGGCCCCTGAGGGGTGAGGATGGCCCCGGGGTGTTGTCCAGGGCTCTTCTCCCGTGGCCAGGAAAGGAATTGAGCACAGGGCAGGGGCTGGGGGAGCACTGGCCATGCCGTAGGGAGTTTAGCATCCCAGCCACCTGCAGCACCACATCCACCAGCTGGCACACACCAGAACCAGGGACAGTCCAGGGCACCCTCCATGGCCCTGACAGCCCAAACAGCCTCGTGGAGCAGGGAGGGCCGGGGCCAGCCCTGAGCATCCCCTGGGCAGAGGTCCCCAGTCCCAAGGCAGGAGCTGTCGCAACGTGGTCGAATGTGCCCGATGCACTCAGGCTCTGCCGGGTTCAGGGAGGCGCTGCCACCACTGGGGGTGGGCTTTTAGG